TATGGAAAGCAAAATAAGCAATTAAAAATATCTTCATTAGGACATACGATGCTTGATACCTTGTTTCACTCAGATAAAAATTACATGTGTAATGTCCCCCTTCCCCTTTTTATCTGCTCAATTTTGAAATATATATTTAATTGTTCTTTAAAGACATCAAACCTGTTGAAGTAGTCTAAGAAATTAATTTGATTATTGTGGCATTATCCCTGAAATTTTCCTCAATACTAAACTTATTTTCCTTTAAGTTTTGTAGAAAAGCAAAGTTTCAGGTCAAATATTTCAGTGGCCGAGGCTCTAAAAGCTGTGTGGTTGAGTCAGATGGCGAGGCCGCCAGGTTTCACCGTTTCCATATCGATCTCCTGTGGGAGTTCCAGTACAAACCTCCAAAAACATAAACTAGAAAACATAGAGCCAGGATTTCCTTTCAGCTGTGGGATTCCTGTGGAGTCCAGCAGTCGAGGAAACTTCCTACTTGTCTCACTGAACAGGACACAGTCTTCCTTTTTGTGATCACTGAGGCAGTTAGAATCTCTGCTACACGTTGAGGACATTTTCCCCCTGCGCTCTCTCCTACTGCCTTCTGTTTCGTTTTTCCTGGTGGTGTCATTAAATTCGGGAAATAATTACCCTTGACTCCCACCGTGGAAGTTACAGAAAGAAGTACTGGAGCCCTCCCCCCACCGTTACCCAACGGTTCGGCATTTAGGAGGAAATTACAGGCTTACTCCTGAAGACAAGCCTTTATGTTCACTTTCTAGCGCAAATAGCGTCCAGTGAGCTGTAATAAATAAACATGTTGTATTTTATTACAATCAAACAAGTGTGCATTATGAGCATAGATTACGAAAATTATTAAAATGAGGTTCACTGCAAAAAGTGCTGCTAGAGCTGAATTTCGGTAGCATGGGTCACTATAAATAAACATAGAACTGAATGTGAAAAAAATGAATCACAAAAGTCACATCTAAAATTAATATCTTGATCTTGATTAAATGTGTAAGGAAAAAGGACTAAAGTTTCTAGAGAGAAAATTATATGTTGTGCTTGTATACATATTTATTCATGTGTGTTTATACACACACACACACACACACACACACACCCAGTTCCACGTATTAAGCAACAAACCAGCATATTATTTTCCTCTTAAATATACCTATGCCACAGATCAGAAGAAAGGTGTGTGTTCCCAGAGCAGGGATCATGATAATTTGTCTTTAGAGTAAGACTGACTGATTTTGAATATTCTTCTTCCATTTATCAGGTGGGTAACCTGGAAAAAGGCTTTAAAACCCTCAGTGACTCAATTTTTTAGTCTAGTAAATGAAAATAATACTGCTAGTAGGGTTGTGAGGATTAAATGAATTAACATACACTAAAACTTTATAATAGGGATCGGCAAACTTTTTCTGTAAAATGACAAACACTAAATATTTTAGGCTTTGCTGTCCCTGTCATACATTCTTCTTAGTTTTTGTTTGTTTGTTTCTTGTTTTCCTACAACCCTTTCAAAAATGTGAAAAACCATTCTTAGCTCATGCGACCACACGAAACCCAGGCTACTGCTGAGAAAGATGCCTTGCATGGGCCGGGCGC